TTTATTTTAACCTTACCCTATCTTTCCTAAAAAAGTTCCAAATTTTTATTCCAAAGAACTATTTTATTTAATTCAGGAAAGTTATAGTCTCATATCAAATAAAACCATTTATTTATATTTAAAAAACAATAATTTTCTTTCAAACATATATTTTGTTTTGTTAGAACAAATGTAATGTTATATTAATTTTATAGTATTTTTAAAATAAAATTACAAATGTTTTCTCTAAACCAATGAAAAATTTGAGTCAACAATATGTACTACATTATTTCAATACATAAATATTTTTCATGTGAAGCGTTTATTATTTAATTGAAATAAATATTTTAAAGAAATAATATTCTTTGTTCAAATACATGTTTGCATTGCGGATATGGGAATATATTATTTGTTTAGTTTAAATTTTACTGCATTGAATTAAAACAATTATTTTTATGTGTGTACTCATAAAAGCATTTTAGGTATATTTACAGCAAAACATATGGGATCCCTTAAAATTACATAAAAAAATTACCTTTTAAATTTAAGTTGTTTTGTCCAATAAATGTGTAATCGACCTCTATCGCTCAAATAATATTTTTCTAATCTCACAACTCATTAAACTTAATAAACCCTTAACAGCTTTGATTACTTATCAGTTTACGACAGCTTACCTTATTTACTTTTGACTCATCACCAGGTACAATCAGAGACCTGCAAAAATAAAAAATAATTACACCCAGGCTTATAATAACATTATCAGTGATATTCTTAACATTCAACAAGATAATGTAATGTAGTAGAATTTTATTATTTTGTTTTTGTGTACAGGAAATTATATTAATAATAATAATCGACCGCCGCTTCCAACCAACAACCGGATGAAGGAAGCGCGGATATGGGAGCTATTTAGGGAGTTTTACAAACGCCTCTTTGAAGAAGACGAGTTGGTTAAAGCGGTGTACGAACGGCAATTAATAGGATTTGAAAAGACGTGATTCAAGTTGGAAGCTGGAAACATCCCTTGATACACTCCGGGGAAACTTATAAATTACTTATATTAACAGGGGGATGTAAGACTTAGGATAATAGCGCAACTTTTTTCCAGGGGGGTTTCGACGAAGTTCCCCCGAACTTAGAACTTATTATAAATGAAGATGCTCCATCAATTACCTGGCAGACGTTTACAGCTTCGGGTTTTATAAAGTTCTGCGGCGCACCTATAGCCTGTTGTGTTCTGAGTTATATTATTAGGTTTGTCAGAGCTGTGTTTTCCATCTAAATCCACCCTCCTCTCTGTACTTACAAAGTTTTACGAGATATTTGTTCGTCAGTAAAAATGGATCACGCACAGGGGAAAAGAAGGTCTAAATTTGCACTTTTTTTATTCCATTCCAGAGAAAACAAGGCACCTTTTTATTCTTGGTGTTCAAAAGAAAACTTTAAATTGCAAAATTTAAACCTATACAGTAGAATGGCCCCAAAAAACCGAATATATAACGAGCGTTCAAATAAAAACGTGGTCAAGTTGGTTCTGAAAATTTGGACGTAGGGCGTAGCGTATAGCAAATGAACTTAAACGTCATCTGTCAAAGCGCTATATCGCCGCTATCAATTTGAATATTTTCGTTTTAAAAAGCGTTTAAAATGGTGTTTTCTCAAGAACAACAAGTGTTTATCATAGAGTCCTACTTTAGAAATGGACGCAAGATTGATGCAATATGGAAGTATTCTATTGAGGAATGTTTCATAGAATTTCAAAATCAATTTCCCGGCGTTGTTGAGTACAAAATTTTTCAAAGTGCAGTTCAGCGTTGTGTTAATGTTTTTCGTGAAACGGGCAGTGTAACAAGAAAAGAAGGAAGCGGCCGACCTAAAAAGCGGACTGAAGAATTAAAAGAAAATGTCCAACAAATAATGGAAAATGCGCCAAGAACTTCTGTACGTGTTTTATCACAAATGTTGGGAGTATCAGTCGGTACCTGCCACACAGTGTTAAAAAAAGATTTGCGTTTGTTCTCCTATCGTTTAACTTGTCAGCAAGAACTTCATGAAGTTGATTTTCCGCGACGGGCTGTATTTTGTGAATGGTTTTTAAACAACTACGGTGAACTTCATAATATCACCTTTTTTTCTGATGAAGCCTGGTTTCATTTAAGTGGTTACGTAAACTCACAGAATATGAGAATGTGGTCTTCTGAAAAACCAGATAACTTTTTTGTCGAGGGCCCTCTACACGCTCAAAAAATTGGAGTTTGGTGTGCTCTCAATCGAAGGAGGATTTATGGACCTATTTTTTTTAATGGTACTCTTACTGCGCAAAGGTATAGAGAAGAAATTATTGCTCCTTTTGTTAACCAGCTGGAAGAAAACGAAATTACAAACTTTTACTTTCAACAAGATGGCGCAAGGGCACATACGGCAGGCGAGACGATGAATATGTTGAGGGAAGTTTTCCGAAATCGACTAATAAGTCTCAATGCTGAACATGAATTTCCACCGAGGTCATGTGATATTACGCCGTGTGATTTCTTTTTGTGGCCTTACCTTAAAAACACTATTTTTGAACTGCCTATTCCTGATTTAAACCATCTGCAGGCTCGACTTATAGACAAGATTCGTGAAATTAACAATACCCCGAGCATCTTAGAAAATGTCTTTAATTCTTTGAGGAACAGGTGTGAAAAGTGCTTGGAACAAGGAGGGGGACACTTTCCGCAGCTCCTTTAATTGTTTGTTATTGTTAACACGATTATTCTTTAAAATAAAGTCATTAACGTTATTGAAACTGACAGCTGCTATACAGCTCGTTGAGAAATGAGGTTAAGTTGGTCGCTATAAGCTACTCCCTACGTCCAATGTGTCAGAACCAACTTCGACCACGTTTTCATTTGAACGCTCGTTATATTTTTTCCTGTCTCTTGTAAAAATATGTTAGTTTATCATGTTTTAAGAGCCCCCTCAAAAAATCTGCTCTAAAAAAATTTTTTTAGAGGTCGCTCAAGATTTTTTTAAATTTTCAAAATCGTCAAAAATATAAATTTTTTTAAATATTTTTTTCTCGTTATTTTATCATTTTCTAAGTTGAATAAAACTACAATAAATGTAATAAAATGATGCACATTCGGCCATTCCCGTTTTGAACAATTTTTTTGTCCGTCTACCATTCTGTTGACAGATCATAACTTGTGTTGCATAACTTGCATTGGACTTTACATAATAGTTGTCATTTCATGCGTATCAAGCGCGGCTCAGTTTTGTTACTACTTTACTTTATTTTGAATTAAGTTAAGATGTCTGAGTGGCAAAAATTTCTCGTATAACTCACAGTTCTTAAAAAGACGTGGTTCTCTGGTCGAAATATAAAAAATGTAAAAATGTATAGCATGCCAACGCGAATTGTTTGAATTTTTCGAAAAATGTTTACACATTTAAATCGTACAATTTATTGCAAAAATATTTCAATCCCAATTCAATATCCGAGCATAATGTGATTTGTTCGTCATCTGTTCGAATTTATTTCTAAATCCAATTGGAACACTGTCGGATTTTATTCAAATATTTTCGTTATTCCGACACTGGCAGATTTATAATTCGAAACAAATGTTTAAACCCATTTTATTATAAACATGACGAAATAATTTGGTTTTATGCCAAATTAGACGAGTGTAAATTTGCTTTACGGTCAATTCGAACAAATAAACAGAACTGATTTTATTGTTTCATTAATAGATAAAATAAGGTGGCTCGATTATTAGAAGAAGCTAAGACCGCTACAGGAAAAATTACTTTCGCTTAGCCATTGTCCAGAAAGTACCAAATTCTGTCATTATTGTCAATTATAATAACTCGCGTACAAATAAAAAATAATATTAGATACTTAACGGAGAATAAGACACTTAAAATATACAAGGTGTTCCAAAAAACACGTCACGATTGAGTACTATCCAAAAAAAAGGTCAACTTGAAAATTTTAATAGATAGGCAGAATAGGGTCAGAAAAATTTTCGTGTATGTCCTTGCTAGTAATTTGATCAAACTCATTCATCTCAAAATAAATCGACAAAATTTTGACAGGCAAAATTTGTAGGATTTTCAATGATAAATTTGAATTTGACCTACACTACAATTTTCAAGGTCAAATTAAGGTCAATTTAATATCAATGAAACAAGTAATTTTTTGTGCTAGCAACCGATCGCTCTATCGATTGTTGGCACAAAAAATATGGTGTTCCATGTAATATCTTGACCTTGGTTTAACCTTTAAGTTTAAGTCAAGGTCAAACCCAAAGTCACCGCCTTCTTGATATTCTATAACTATTATCTGAAACTTTTTTTCTCAAATCCTCGAACAGTTATCGGGGGTTCGGGTTTTCTGGAACACCCTGTATAAAAGCTAAAAATAATTTTCGCAACATCGACTATAACGTGGGTCTATTCAGTGAAGTTATTAACATTTATTTATGTACCTTTTTTAGGTTCTCTCATACAGAAAATCTCACCGAACAAAAACAACCGTAAGTCCGTAGGCGGAGAATTATACACTTCCGTATAACCGATTTATTCGCGTGGATTTGCTCATATGGCGAGGAATATTTACCTTGGCAGGGTGGCAGATGTAACAAGGAAAGTTAAAGTGAATTTATACGCAAGGGGGATGAAGAACTTTTAATCCTCAGGATGAACCGTGTCGATCATATTGAGGATTAAATGGTACTTAGTTTTCGATCCATACGTCATTTTCTGCTAGAATAAATGTTGTAGGATTATGGAGGAAAAAAGCAGGTAAACATATTAAGGTGTGCGTAAAGATATTTTGTACTAATACTATTTATAAAGTGTACTTTTCTGATAATTTAAGTACATATTTTTTATATTTTTCGGCGTGGTCAGTCAATTGTTATAAACAAAAAAGTTGTAAAAAAAATTACTCGCCGAATGGATTTGAAAATAGTTTTTTATGTTCATAGAATGGACCAAAATAAACACTTTTTGTTCTTTGACAAAAATTCGAAAAATGCTTCGTTTCCGAGATATTTACAATTTAATGTGAAAAAAGTGACGAAATCTGCAAACTTTCGGATTTTTTTTATCAAAAACTACTGAACAGATTTTAATTCTAAAAAAAGCATAATAATCGGCAAATTTTCTACTTTAAGATATATTTTTTTGGTATGAGTCAATCATTTTATTGAAGGTCTAAAGCGAGTAAAAAAAGTTTTTTAAAGAAAATTAAATTTTCTTTTTACAATATCTTGGATTAGATTATATTTACAATAAACATTATTATGATTTTTTTTAATCGATATATGTTAACAGTACAAATTCTCAAAAGATTATTTTGTTTGGTTTTGTAGCCGGAGTAAGCTTTTTGCAAGTAATTAGTAAAATTTAAATATTCGATTTTTGGTTTTATAAATGGCTAAAATTTACTTGAAAGTTATACCAAAACTAAACTAAATAAGTAAAAAAAATCATAATAATGTTTATTGTAAATATAATCTAATCCAAAATCTGTTCAGTAGGTTTTGAGAAAAAAATTCCGAAAGTTTGTCAATTTCGTCACTTTTTTCACATTAAATTGTAAATATCTCGGAAATGAAGCATTTTTCGAATTTTTGTCAAAGAACAAAAAGTGTTTATTTTGGTCCATTTTACGATAAAAAAGCCATTCGGCGAGTAATTTTTTTTACAACTTTTTTGTTTATAATTGA